AATGGGAAATAATTAAGAGCGAAAGAACTAAAATTAAGAGGAGCTGGGAAAGGCTTCCTGTAGATGAAATTTTCATTGGAAGGCTATTCCAGGTGCAGAGGAGAGCCAGAGCTTCTGGACTGAAGACTATGTGATGGGGAGTAAGGTGTAACTGAACAAGTGCGGGGCAGGGAAGAAGGCTAGATTATGAAGGGCTGTGAACACCAAACAGAAGATTTCGTATTTGGTCCCGGAAGTGATAGGGAGCCACTGTACAGAGTCTACAAGCCTCTGTAACCGGATAAAGCAAGAGCAGAGAGCTCCTTCAAGAAAACCCCAGGCAAAGGGAAGATCAGAAAGCCCCAGAGTAGTAAGAAATCTTCAGGGGCATCAGAAATTCACAGTATTGACCTTGCAAGCCCAGGGGAACACTAGCAACAAGTACAACAAGGTGGCACTCAGCCTGGCACACAGGTGCTCTGAGGTACCTAGAACTGTCTTGAAATGCCACAGAGATTCAACGCTCTGAATCTAAAAGATGAGGGGAAGGTGGAAGGCTAACCACAGGAAGTGGGGTCAACTAAGGTAACAGAGGATAAGATTAAGTAGGGGTGATCACCCCGATCAAGAGCACAGAAGGGGACAAAGTCCAGCACTGGCACAAATCCCCAATTCAGGAACTAGGCTAGAGAAGAGTAAACCAAAAAAGATACTGAGCAATGGAAAAAATTATCGTGGAGCTAAATGCGCCTAAAAATCTAGCCCAGAAGGAGAAAGTGACTCCCTAACAACTATAAGTAAAATCTCACAAGGAAAAAATAAGTATGAATATCTAAAATAGATGAAGCAAGAGATAAAAATGAAATAAAAGATCTTGAGATAAGAATTACAAGGGAAAATAGCTAATAATCAGGTAAATCTGACTCAAATAACAGAATCCTTGAAAACCAGAATAGACTAAACAGAAATCAATCACTCCATGAAAATATAAGAAATATTAGAACAAAATCTAAAGATTTAAAAAATAGAAGAAAATGTAAGATATCTGAAACAAAAAAAAACTGACTTGGAAAACAGGTCAAGTAGAAATATAATTAAAAATCATTGGATTCTCTGAAAACCGCAATTTAAAAAAAAAAAAAAAGGTTGGATACTATATGTCAAGAAATCGTTAAGTAATGTCTTGCCTAGATATATTGGAATTAGAGGGCAAGGTGAAGGTAGAATTTACTGACCGGTTCATGAAAAGAACTCCAAAAAGTAAAGTCCCAAGAATATCAGAGCCAAAGAAAAATATTCCACAAGCATCCAGAAAAAAGCAATTCAAGCACTAAGGGATTACAGATAGGATCACACAAGACCTGGCAGCTCCTACAATAAACTAGTGGACATCTTGGAATACAATAGCCCAAAAGGCAAAATAAAAAAAAAATACAGTCTTATAACCAAGAATAACAACCAAAGGTAAAATATATTCCTACTGCGGGAAAAAATTTGCTTTTAATGGAAGAGAGGACTTTCGAGGATTGCTGATGAAAAGATCAGAACTGAGTTTGAAACACAAACACAAGAGTCAAGAGAAACCTAAAAAGGTAAATTAATTTAAGCAACTGGAAGGGGCTGCATGATGCTGTAGTGTCAATATTCTTATTAAGGGAAAAAGAAACAAGTAGCCCTTCTGAACCTTAATATCTTCAAAATGCATAGAGATAAAAGTATCCTAGACAATTCCAAAGGACTCATGATGAAAAATGCTATCCACCTCCAGAGAAAGAACTGATGAACTCTGAGTGCAGATTAAAGCGCACTGCTTTTCACTTTATTTTTCCGCAACATGACTAATGTGGAAATGTTTTACATGACTTCACATGTAAAATGGGTACCATATTACTTACCTTCTCAATGGGTGAGGGAGAAATTTGGAATTCAAGTATTTTTTTAAAATGAATGTTAAAACTAAAAATTTAAAAGAAAAAGAAAAAATACATGGAAATCTCTTGAAAAAATATATTGGGAAATTAAATAAGAAAAATAGATGAAGGGGGTGGATTGGCTCTGTTCCGAGAATTTTAAGAGGCGAAGGGGGTAAAGAAATACAGTAGCATAGAAAGGAGAAAGAAGGGGGTGGAATTTGCTAAGAAGAATATACAAATATGGAGGAAGTGGTGAGGGAAGTTTGGTGTATTTCAAATCAAATAAGTAAGCAGTTATTAAGTATTTATTCAGTGCCAGGCACAAAAACAGTCCCTGTCCTTGAGCAACTCGTAATCAAATGGGAGACAACATACAAAATACTGTTTATGAACAAGATACATACATGATAAATTGCAGATAATGTCAGAGTGAAAGTATCTGCATTAAAGGGAACTGGGAAAGGTTTCTTGCAGAAGGTTCAATTTTAGCTGAGACTTAAAACCAGGGGAGCATGGAGGCAAGCACGAGAGAGAATATTCCAAGCCTGAGAGACAGCTAATGAAAACATACAGATCTCATGTAGTTCACCAAACTATATGTATGTGTTCAATCTTCCTTTGTCTGTTTCAGATTAAAGTGGGGGGAGAACAGTTTACGTAAGGACAGTAATAAGGACAACTTCAAAGGACTTAAGGCCATCCATCAGCACAACGAATAATCAACAATCCAGAGGACTTATGGTGGGTCCTGTTCCTTCGCTCCTGACAAAGATGACAGACTAAAGACATAGACAGAAATTTTGGGACATGGCTCTAGGATGGGGTCAAGTCTTGCTGAACTATGCTTCACTGGTCTTTTTCCTCTTGGTTCTGAATGGAATGCAAAGTAGGGAGGCAAGCGGGATTAGCAAGAGTAATAATGCCTTGCTAAAAAGAGTCCATCGAAACCTTTTTTAAGGTGCAGAAAAGAACAGCAGGAAGTTCACAAGGAAGAAGAGAAAAACAGGCCGCTTTTGAAAATAATGTGTGGAATTTACATTACACGCTTTTCTTTTTTAAAAGCAAGAGGTGAGATGGAGATTCAGGGTTTCACATACAACCCCCTTTTTGTATTCTACCATGTACGCGGAAATGCTTGCTTCTGGAGCGTCTAAGTTCAGAAATTTAAAAAAAAAATTTTTTTAATAAAAAAATAAAAGCAAGAGGTGAGATGGAGATTCAGGGTTTCACATACAACCCTCTTTTTGTATTCTACCGTGTACGCGGAAATGCTTGTTTCTGGAGCGTCTAAATTCAGAAATTTAAAAAAAAAATTTTTAAGCAACATACTAATTCCAGAGCACAGCACTTGCCAGGGAGAACCTCTCCTGAAAACAAGAATAAACCCAGTCTGTTAACGGAGAATCTCAGCCTCATCCATGGCCTCTGCTTCCCAGGAGAGAGGTCAGGAGAGTTGATGGAGCAGCTGACAATTCGGGATGTGTTTCTCAGCATCTTACCTCAGTGCCAAATGCCATCGGCGACATGGTCCATCATCACAAAGCTCCAGGTGATTCCTGCAGTGTTGTTCATTTCAGCCGCTGAGAATCCCAGGACGTCAGGTAAACCCTCTGGCTATCTCTTCCCCATGCTGATCTCCCTTTTGTTTCTCAGTGTCTGACTCTGTGACCTGCCCAGAACCAGAGCAGCTTTAGTGATACTTGGATAAGTGGGCTCCCTGTAGGAATTCCCTCTGCCCACCCAGTGGGTTCTACCAGTACCCCAGCTTTAAGGACAAGGCTCAGATAAAAAAGAATGCTGTCCTTTCTTCTACAGCCCCCAGGCACTGTGACCACCCCTCCCTCACATCAGGCATCTCCTCTTATGCAGCAGAATCTCTGAACGGAAAAGGACTGAGCTGGGACAGGTACAGGAGACAGTGCTTCACAGATCAGTGGCCAAGGCCAAGGGTTCTGCTCACTCCTTTTCCCCAAACTAGTACTATTCTCTACTTAGCTTCTACATGCAGCAATCACCTGTCTCCCAACATCTTTTAGAGCTGGCCATTAATGTTGGGCATTTATCTTTAGAAACCACCACCCTGTGGATAGAGCACCAGCCCTGGAGTCGGGAGGACCTGAGTTCAAATCTGGCTTCAGACACATAACACTTACTAGCTGTGTGACTCTGGGCAAGTCACTTAACTCCAACTGCCTCACAAAAAAAGAAAAGAAAAAAAAAGAAACCACCACCCCTCCACATACACAGACCTCACATACATGTAGACTTCCCCCAACCCAACTTTCATATTCGGAAGTTTTTTTCTTATGGGAAAATTTCTCAGAAGCAGAATGGTACACAAGTTCCTCCCCTCCCCCCCCTTTAATAATTTCTGGCGTACACATTTTACAATTGCAAATACATAAAAATTAAAATGTTTTCTACTCTATCACATATTCACACAGGCAAGTATACAATATGTAACAAAGATGGCATCAGTGCCTTTTTTTTTTATTCACCTGCTATCATTTGCTAAAATTAATATAGACGGTCTACAAGGCATGTGACTGAAACACAGGATCACGGATTCAGAGCTGGAGTAGAAGGGTCTTTTAAAATTATCGAGTCCCATCTCATCATTTTACAGAGGGAGAAAGTGAGGCCCAGAGAAAGAAAGGGATCAGCCCAACGAACGAGTGTCCACCCAATATCCCAAAGATAGTCAAGTAGCAGACCTGAATTTGAACCCATAAGAAGGTTGCTACCCTTTTGGTGAGAATAGTCAAATATCTTCCTGTGGCTTCCCTTTTATTCTAAAAATAAGACTCAGCATCTCTTAGCTTTAGTAAAATCATTTTATATACAACCATGTAGAATATTTACAATATAATACTGATTCCAAAATAAAAATAAGCATACAGGTTAACACTGAAAAAGGAGAACATTCTTGGCCTGATACAGAAACGAAGGGTAGGTACTCTGTGATATCTCACACGTCATCACTGTTGTAGACCAAACTATCTATGGTGATGGTTTCATGATCCATTCACAATATTTCTCTCCTTGAACAGATGACAGAGTTTCTCGTCATCATCTGACAAGAAGATAAAACACTGTCAGATAGCTGGGTCGCTAGTTCTGGAGACTACCCCCAAGGACCAAATGATTTCTAGACACGTCTTTGTCTTTGCATTTTATATAAAAAAACATTTCTTTAAAATTGTCCAATGTGAACATTTCAATTCGAAGAATCTAAGGAGAGATTCCTCCAGGACTTCACAAAAACCATTGGAATTACATATTTGAGTGATGATCTTGAAATCAAAGAGTGGGATGGCATAAGAGCAATCCTTTGTAGGGGAGGGACCATTTGGACCTTTTATTCCACCGGCATAGGAAACCCCCCGTTTGGAAAATCCCTGCCTTTGAGACAGATCCCAAACTCATTTGCACCTTCTAGTCTCAGACTCAGAGTGAGCGACAGCAGCCCTCAGCACCCAAGTGCTTTTGGCCGTGGTCACCCAGCCAGTGTGTGTCAGAAACAGAACAGTCGGCCCAGCTCCAAGGCCAGCCCCTGATCTTACACCGCGCTCCACAGTAACAGCTGACGTGAATGAGTTGAGAACTTGCTTCACATCTATTATCTCTCTTGATGATTGTTATTGATTTTTTTTCCTAAAGGATTAAAGCATACTTAGAAATTAATCTTTGTTCTAAAACATCATTGGTTTAGACATAACATGCCTGAAATCAATCATTTGACCTTTGACCTTACGTTACTCTACTCTTACCTAATAATCCTTCAAATTGGTCCTTTCTCAAATGGATAATATACTCAACATGAACTCTCTAAAAACAAAAGGGGGAAAAAAGGGTAATTCCTTATATGCACACACTTCACACACCAACTTCTGACGACCCTCTCCCTGCCCACACACGTTAATTCATAAAGACACACAAGGACACAGGCAGGATTTGCTCTGCCACCTACCAGACACCTAACTATGGGTGACCCAAAGGCATTTCATTACAGAACAATGGCTTTCATAAACAAATCAGTGGGGAGAGGGTCAGAGGTACAATAGGGAAAAGTCAAGACAGTCTATACCTGGTAACTTCATGGGATTCACCACTCTAGGCAGAAGCAGTCTTCTTATCAACTCTCCAATTCACAAGGCCTACAGATTAGCAATAACGTGTCAAAGCCTTTCAAGAATAGGATGTTCCCTAATATTTACACAAAAAAGAGACACATGAAAGTTTCGTTCAGGTTTGCATGACATCTGCTTTTTGCTTCACCAAAGCAGGAGAGATTGCTACTTCAAAGTAAGCATAAACCCTAGGGGGACAGGGATCGCTGACTCCAAGGGCTCCAAGCACACCAAGCCCCACAATCCATGCCAATCACTCTGCTCTTTTACAGCCCAGAAGGACAGCCATGACCGAGTGATCGTAGATCAGACTCTCCAGATGGCCTATACAGCATCAGCTCAGTCCTCCTGTGGGCATCAAGACACTTCCTCTTGATTCTACAGACTGATGTCCAACATAGCCTAAGGCGAAACACAGGTAATCTACTGATCACTGCCTCAGACGCTCCCTTACACCATGGCCACAGTTCACCACTTCCAGCCCTAACAAAAAAGAGGAGAGAGAGTTCAAGGTGATGGTTTTCAAAAACGTCCAGCCCATCAGAACTCTGAGGCAGAGACGACATCGCAGAAGCTACCACAGAAGGAAAACCTGAGCAACAGTAACATCAGACTAATGCTAGTGCTCCTCAGAGGCAAGTATCTCCTTTCAACACAGCCTTGTGCCTCCCTCACCCCTAACCTAGATGCCTCACCCCTCTCTTCCTCCTCAGACCTCCCCTCCATCACCAGGAAGAAAGATGGGAAGCTCCACGTTCTGCTGCAGAAACAATCCAGTTGGAAGTTTTCCTGACAGAGGTTGGGGTCTTTGCAACTACCCGTGATCTAGAAAGTCTAGATTACCTCCAAACTAGGTTTTCAGATTAGTAAAGAGAAAAGTATCCATTAGACTTTGCTCCTTAACTCCCTCAGGCTTGGGCTTTGCTGCTCTCAGCCAACAGAGAACACAAATATTTGTAACCATGACCATGTAATGGCTCCTCTGATGGTGGAAAGCATGGCTAAAGGGGGCTGATGTCTAGCCACGCTGGGTGAGCTGGACAGCAATGTGATGAGGGTGCCCCTAGGGGCAAAGAGCCTTTCTAAATGGCCATGTGTGTTCTTACAAATTGCCAGAGTTGGCCCCGAGAGGCTCTAACTAATCTAGAGATCCATTCAGAAAAGAGCTTTGAAAAGGTAAACAGCCATGGAGCAGTAGCCCAAGGGATCTAAATTTTCAGCTGGAAATGCAGAACTCTAAGATGCCCTGCCCCGAAAGCAGGGACTGTCTCATTTTGGTCTCTAACTCTGGAGCCTGGCACTAGGAGGGGCTGATCTATAGCAGTAAGAGCTTCATCAGTGCCTACTGGTTAAGAGACTGCTTCACCCCAACAGAATGGAAGCTCCTTCAAGGCACTGACTATTTTGCTTTTTCCTCTTCATCCCCAAGGCCTATTCCAGTGCCTTAATCAGTGCCAACTCACTGACCTGGTATGCTATGAAAGTGAACAAACCTGCCGTTTCTCTTCCTGAATGGCATCTCAGTTTACATCACCTAGTCTGCTTACCTACGTAGGTACCAAAGTCTCTCTAAAGGCCTCCGTTTATTAAAGGAAAACATCACAACAGATTTGTTCTGCATTTTGAGGGCCACACTCTGAAATATGTTCAGTCTAATTAGTGGCTATGATGGCTGAGTGAACATATGGAAGCAGGAGGGAGAGACAAGGCCAAAAAGGCTAACAGAAGAGCACAGATCTGGGGAGAAACCCAAATAATGCAGAAGTCTCTAGTCTCAGAGTCAACAGATATATACAATGCACAGCCTTCCAAGCCCTTGACCAAAGTTTAGAATCCACACAGGAACAAGGAAGGAGGGACCAAAAAAAAAAAAAGAGAGAGAGAAAAAGGCAACAGGGATAGATAAACTTAAATTCTGGTCTGGAAAAATAAGGCTGACATCTACGGGACCCACAAGCAGAAAAAAAATAAATGGACTAGAACCTGCCTTTACTAAACTATTCAAATCCTTTTCATTCCTAACCATTACACAAACAGAAAACCTTAGGCAACCTCACTATTCTACCCTAGAAAGTCCAGAAGAAAAACAGCAAAGGAAATAAGACAAGTTCTGCACCAAAGAATCCCTCAAACCGAGGCAAGCACAGAGATGCCAGCCTCAGAGGTCAGGCAGGATAAGGAGCTGCTTGCCGAGTTCTCCCAGACAGCCGTCTGGAGTCAAAGCCAACCGAGCTACCCCAGCCCTGGTGCTCCTGTTGTCCCAGCCCTGATGGTTCAGTGGGGAGGACACAGGGCACCAAGAGGATTATATTCCACAGTACCTATTCCAGCTTTTTACTGAGCAAAAAGGCCCGTGGAGCTGCTTATCACTGGGAAGGTGCTTCTCCGCCTATTGCAAGTCAAAGGATTTTGGTGACATCACCTGTCCTGTCTGAGAGACATACAAATGAACAATACAGAAGTCATAATCTATCTCTAAGAACTGAGCTTGACTTAAAAAAATATTACAGTACCAATGATTCTTGTATCTACACCTATACAGCATCTTTCAGCAGTATGGAAATTTAATGAAATTATGATTTATTAATTTACATAAAAATTACTTTGTACAGTTAAGGAATAAATTTTCAAAATGTAAAAAACAAAACAAAAACAAACTAATGCTCTGAGGCTGTGGCTATTGGGACTCATGAGAGGCGGTCTGTTCTTCAATCACTTGTTTCACAATTTCTGCCAGTTTTAGTCGATCCACTTTATCTGTGAATCCACGGCCTGAAAACAAGCAAACAAACAAAAGAACAGAGTCAGTATCAATAGGTTTGCTCTGGCAAAATAATGCCCTGGGGACAGGGATCCAGCAGTGGATAGGGTTCCAGCACCTGAGCCTGGCTCACCATATAACCCAGCTCCACCCAAGACAGACTCAGGATGGAATCCCCCTAGTGCCCAAGTGTGATCAGCAGTGTATACTTTCATCTGGCCTTTAACCATCAATGCCTGGCCAGCCCCATCACCCAAGGCGGTGATGAAAGAGGGCAGAGAGGTACCTTCAGCCTTCTATCCAAAAAAAAAAAAGAAAAATCAGTTTACTTACCTCACACACACAACACACACACACAACTTTAATGAAGCTCATCTCTGCCAAAGGTAGGAGTCTCTACAAGCTAAGTGACGGCCACACAGTGTGCCCAGGCAACAAATCTGCAGCCACACAAAGGCAACAGAGAAATCTGCCCCTTCTCCCAGCACTCTGGTACTCACAGGCTCACAGAACTGGAAAACCATCCAGTCCAACCCACATCTGACTCCAAATCATCCCTAAAAAAGGAATCACCCAAGTCTAAATGCAGACCTCTTGGGAAGCTGTTACTTGCACTGACCTTTCTCCGAGTCCCATCCTTTGGAGACCAGCAGGACAAACCTAATCTGTATTCCAGCCCTTCAAATACTTCAAAAGGGCTATCAATTTCCTCATGTTGGCTCCCCTTATCTTCACTTTCCAGGATAAAAATCTCCAATTCCTCTAACTGATCTTAGTATGGCGTGATCTTGAGGTCCTTAAACACCCTAGTCACCAGCTTGCTGATGCTCTTTCTAAAAGGTGGCACTGAGCCTGACATACACAACTCCAGAAGTAGTCTGACCAGGGCAGAAGACGACGGGACTGTCAGCCCTTATTCTGCACACTTCCTCTCTTCAGGTAGCCTAAGATCGTGTTAGTGTTTAGGGCAGCCTCATCACCCAGTGAACCAGCACTGACATGTGCAAGGAAGCGTGCCAACTACCTTACAAACATCCTCTCACACCCCTGGGAATGAGGTACCTGATGATCCCCATTTCTAGCTGAGGAAACAGTCAAACAGAGGCAAAGTGACTTGCCCAGGGAAGTGCCTGAGCACAGAGTTGACTCAGGTCTTCCTGTCTCCAAGTCCAGCTTTCTAGCTACTAAGAAACCCAAATTTTTTAAAGAGGAAATGCTACACAGCCACACTTCCCCCTTCTTGTATTTGTGAAGGTGATCTTTTAAACCTAAAGGTAAGACTTTATATTTGTCCCTATTAACATTCAGCTTCTCAAGTCTGACTCAGTGTTACAACCTGTCCAAATCTTCTTGAATTCTTACAGTCATCCAACATGTTAGTTACTTTTCCTACATTTGTGATGTCTACAACTCTGAGAAGCACTCCATGTGATCTTTCTCCAGGATCCACTGATAAAAATGTCCAAAGATCCCGGTGGTACTCCACGAGAGACCTCTTTCCAAGGCAACATTATGCCATGAAGGACTCTTTTTGGGTCCAATTTCAAGTGCACCTGAGTGCACACTCCCCTAAGCCCGTATTGATCCATCTTATACATAAGGAAACCATGAAACAGTCTTTCAAGCATTTTGCTAAAAGCTCAAGTCATTAAAACTCTGGCATTCCTCCAAGCTACCAGACTGGTAACTAACCTAGCTCGAAAAGGAGATAAGGGTAGTAGAATATGACCTGCTCTCTGCGGTCACCACCCATCTCCTTGTCTCGATGTTCACTGACCACTCCTTTGAAAGCGTACTTAAGAATTTTGCCAGAAATCAAAATTAAGTTCATTGGACTACAATCTGTACTTCCACTCTCTTTCCTTTTTGTGAAAAAAATCAGGAAAACCCCTGCCCTTCTTTAGTACTGCAGCAGCCCTTCCAATCTCCAGTTTTTCAAAGGTCACCAAGAGTGGCTAAGCAATCACATCCGACAACTCTTGTCAGCACCCTGGGATAGTTGGTCTGGGTCTGATAGCTGCTGAAGTCTGCTCCTCAGGCCCACCACCACTCAGAGCAGTCTGCCTTTGTTTGAATACATCATGGAGAATATACTTCAAAACAAGACTCTCCCTTACCCAGATGTAACGAGTTCCCTCACTACCTCTTTTCTTCTAATTGTAAGCTGACATGAGAGGAGGCAGGTTCCACGGAGCTCAGCCCTACCTCCCTCCCCCTCTACAGTAGGCAGCTTACTGGCACAGTGGATAGAGCTGGACCTGGAGACAACAATTCCTAGCTGTGTGGCCTTGGGCAAGTTGCTTAACCTCTGCCTCAGTTTCCTCATCTGTAAAATGGGGATAATAGCCACACCTACTTCCCAGAATTATTGCCCTGCCCTGCCTCTCTCAGTCCCAGACAACACATCTGCCTCTGCGTGCCATCTCAGGGCTGGCCTCTGGCAGACCCACAAGAGAAAGCAAGCTCTCCCAGCTGCCATACCATTCCAGCTGAAGCTCTGCAGGGTGTCCCGGAGAAGCTTGCATTCCCGGTTGTACTTCCACGCCTCCTGCATCACCTCATTCAGCTTCTCGTCTTCGTTCTCTCCTATTGAAAGGGATGAACAGGAAGTTGTGTTTTCTCAGAAGCAGCACAGGGTAGAAGGAGCATCAGAGAAGTCCCTTTCCTTAGGTGAGGCTTGGAGGGACTGGGAGAGGGCAAGGAGAAAGGAAGCAGGAGGGAAGGAGAGGACCAGGAGACAGGATTTTTGGTCAGTCGATTATCGAAGATCAAATATGTAAACCCTCAGTCTATCTTTCCCTACTTGGACCCAGACAGGCCCAGGTCATCAGACACCCCTGGTTCCTCATTGCCTCATTCATTTCCTCTCAGAGTACAGCCCTAAACCCTTAATGTTGGGGGATGTAACACCAATCTAGTCATTAGGTTGATCAAACCCTGAGCAGGGAGGCACAGCTGACCACTACCAGACTCTGACCAGCCAGGCAGGACAAATTTCAACAGCCACTTGATTACCTTGAGCTCATTTCCTATCTCAAAAACAATTGGATCATTAAAGAAATGGCTTGAAAGGGCTTGTTTCTGGGCAATTGTGGGAATTCTCCTAAAATCTGAATAGTCACTGAAGAAAGTGAGGCCCTTCAGTTAGCCCTCTGACTGCTGCAAAGACCCATTAGTGTCTAACAAGAAGCAAAGGAGAATATACTATGATTATTACCGCCAAATACCAAGGGCCTCAGGCTTGGTACACTTTGTACACATCACGAAAGAGCAGCAACGGTCAGTTTTAAACTACTAAGTGTGTTGCTTTTCCCGCTACCAAGAAGCTGTGAAAGGTCTTGACCGTAGACTCCTAAACCAACGAGCTAGAAAAGATGCTTAGCAATCACCCTTTGATGCCACCTGGACTGATTCACCTAGATTTCAGTCTCCACTTAGATTTCTACCCTTGCTGTCGGGCTTGAAATAAATTTCCCAACTTCATCCGCCTACTCAGAGACTTAACCACATCCCTCCCTGCAAAAGTACACAGGCAAGGAAACCCAAGGACAGAGAACTGACGATATATCTCTGACACTCCACGTATGATTTTGCTTAGTGGACACGAGATCACCCTGAAGTGTTAAACACAAAGACAGAAGGGCTGCTATTAAAAGAGCTACTACTTTTCAAACCCAAGCGCGCACACATGCACACACACACAGACGACAAACAAAGAAAGCATTCTTAAAGAGTGTGACCTTTACCAGCCTGGGGCAGAATACACTGAGCAATGACATCGCGTAGCTTCTCCAGTGCCACATTGGAGTCCTCTGCTCCATTCTCCGGGTCGTGAATATAGACACCATCCTTCGGTTTCGTGCTTTGAAACATTGGAGGAAAAGCAAATTAAAAAAAAAGTCAGATTTCCCAATCCAAATCTCTGATAAGATGTTAACCCCACATGCACCCAAGGAAAAAGACTTTGAATACAAAATTGCTCAAATACTATCATGGCAACATCTCCCAAATATTCTGAAAATGCCTTGAACATACTGAGTCAGATCCTCCCAGGGCATGTGTAAGTAAGGAAGAAAATTGAAGATTCTTTGCACAGCTGGGTTTGGGTAGACGGAACCAAACTACGTTAGCCTTGTTGTTTGTAAGGGGAATAAAGGAATCCAGAAACAAAACCAAATTACCCAAGCAATTTCCTCTTTCTGAGAATGGGGATTATTTACAGAGTGCAGGGGTTTGAGGCTGACTTTGAGGTCCTGGATTCTCATGTTGGCCAGCTGTTCTGCATGAGCCTGTTGGATTCCAGCAACTACTGCCTGAATAGAAAGCAGCTGAGTTAGTTTAGCATTTGACATGGTGCCTGGCACATAGCAAGCAATTAATAAATGCTTGCTGACTGACTGATAGGCATGTTGGAGGAAAACTCAATCACTAAAATCCAATTTCACCAAGTATCACAGGGATGGTTCTACCAAACCAAGTTAGGAGCCCATCACGGCCAGTGGGTTACCAGAGACATCCGGGTTAGAGCAACTAAAGAGGAATCAGGCTTTAAAAAACAAAAGAGCAGCAGCACTAGTAGTAACAACAACAACAACAGTAATCAATGTAGCAGTGGTAGTAATAATAATCACCTGTATACTCTTTTGCTGTTACCAAAACATTCTTACATACACCGTCCCATGAGATCATCCCCAGAACCCCTATGAGACAGGAAGTGCAAATATTCCCGTTCCCATCCCCATTCAAGGAGTAAGGAAATGAGTGTCAGAGACACCAAGAGACTTGCTCGACTCCCCAGAGCAGCTAATAAAGCACACTTTCATATTTCATAAGATCTATACTTGGATCTTCCGACCCCTGAGTTCAGGGTTCTGTCCATCAGATCTGAGAGCTAATTCTAGCACTATTATGCAGCCTTACAAAAAGACCAGCTGTAGCTAAGCACTCAGTAAAGAATTTCCAAATCATGGCTCTTCTTCCTCCTCCTCCACCTGCCCCCTGAATGTGAACCAGTCTTTGGCCCTCCACATTCACTCCTCTGAACAGCTTGCCTCTTCTCCTGGCTTCAACCAGACTCTCTCTCAGGTGATGACCACCAAATCTGCACCATTAGGCCTGACCTCTTGCTTGAGCTCTAGCCCTATATTTCCAACTGCCTAATGCAGGCTTTTCTACCCAGATGTCCTCCTATCTTCTCAAGATGTCTAAAGCCAAACCCAAACTCAGTTTCCCCAACTTCCCTCCCAAACTATCTCACCTCTCCCACTCCCCACTTTCTGTCAATCACACCATTGCTCTCTAGGTTCAAAACCACTAGATCTTCTCTGAATCCCCCCTTTCCTCCATCCTCTACATCTAGCCAGGAACCAAATTCTTCTGATGGTTTTCTTTCCCAATGTCCTGCGTATTCCATTTATCCATCCATTCCTTCCTCTTTCTTCCAATGCCAACAAACTCATCCAAAGCCCTGACCACCTCACACCTAGATCACTACCGCGGGTTCCCAGATGACTTCTCTACCTGCGTTTCTCCTTCCAATCAAAGTCACACCCCAACTGCAGCTAACCTTCCTAAAACACCATCTTCTCTACAGCCCTCTGCCATCAGGAACCTGTAATGGTTCCTATGGCACTGCGTCCAAACTCTTCTGCCTTGTTTTCAAGCCCTTGCACAGCCAACTTTATCTGCCAGCAGCCCACAACCTGAGTCAAACTCAGTTTCCTCCACGTTCAGGTTCTAGGCCTTTCTTCCTGGTGCTTCACTAGCCCCTGGGAATGTCTTCAGCTCATCCAAGGCCCAGCTCGAGGCCCAATTCCTCTAGGACCCTTCTTGGATTCCTCTGGACCATGTTAATTAATTACCCTCTTCTCTGCACTCTAAAAGCCTCTTCAGTTCTACACGATGACACAATTATCTACTGTCTGACACTATTCTCCAACTGTTTTCTACGTTAGAAACAAGGCTTTAAGCAGCCTGAGGTCAAGGACTGAGTCTTCTCCATAACCCACAATGCAGAATACAGGGGTAGATGTGAGAGGTGCTCAATAAACATTTTAAAAAAAAAAGGTAATTGGGAATAGAGACCTATATTCCAACCACTCCAACCACAGATGGGCAGTTCCCTGGAGTATATCTCCCAGGTCTTGGTCTAGTCTTTTATGAAAACAAATACCTCCTTTTACACAAATGTTCTCTCTCTGATACTACCTGAGTACCACAGCAATCTCCTAAAAGGACAACAGACCATAACATGATACTTTGCCCTTACATTCCCGCTAGAATATAGCCTTTCCCAGAAACAAAAGAGGTGTCAGCAAAAACCTTGTCCATCATCAGCTGGGCAGAGGGCAGCACATTGTCCAGAGCTTCATTCGAGTTTAGCCACGGGTGGTCCAACACCCCCTCAATGGTAAGCCGCTCCTCTGGCTTGACCTTCAGCAACCTGTGGGAAGAAGACAAACACACTTGATATGTCCGGCTGCTGGTGGGAATCCTAATGGAAACACGTGGCCTAGAGCAGTTTTCACCCTTCCCAGCTTCTCCTCACCTTCTCCAATTTGCCAGTCAAGCTCCATGAAGGTTACGGTATATAAAAAAACCCTATATAAACTAGTCTCTCCTAGTGTACCCTGGGGAATTCCAGCGTTAATACTGCTGTCTCTTCAAGAATCCCTGGTCAATTCACACTGGGGCCAAATTGCTAACCTATCATTAGGATCAGACCCACTTGGCTTTGGATTACAGATGGATGACTTGGCAGAAGCAGAAAGGATGCACCACAGAGAAGAGGATTTAGTTCAGGTATATTTAGACACTCTCTGAACTTCATGTAGCTTTTCAAAGACAACTTGAGATTCAAGGTCTAAATTTCTGAATATTAATTATTTCACACAAAGGACAACTACAGTTGAATGGCTATTCTGGCCAACAGTGAGAGCAAATGAGGTCACAGAGCAACAGGGCTAAAAGCAGGACCACAGACTTGCTCTTACTTTCATGGGACACAGGCAATCTAAAGCTAAATATCAGTATTTCTGAGGGCTGGGCATCAGCACTCAGACTTGCAATACTGCTACATAGCCTATGGATGGTTAGATCAGACTTGGGGAACTGACCAATAAATTTCCGGTTACCCTTAGCAAACACAGTTGGCTTCTACTGCATTCCCTCCCATAGTTCTGCCACCCAAGTCTAAATTACCCAGCTGATCTTTCAAAGTTCGTGACTCTTTGAGCTACTTAGTTCAAGTTTCTAAAAAAATTATCTGGAATGGATCTATACTTTGTTATTAAATTAGTTACATATTACAGAGATCATTTATGACGCTTTCTAGAAAGCTTGAGATTGCAGAGAAACTAACAAAAAGCCACCTACAAAGTAAAGATCCCCCTTGGGATCACGTGATCATAATTGAGACTTGGAAGGGACCCTAAGTGTCATCAAGTCCAACCACCTCATTTTAGAGACAGGAAACCAAGGCCTAGAGAGATTTAGTGACTTGTCAATGTCATCTAGGTCGTAAACTGAAGACAGGAACCCAGGCTTTCTGTCTTCAAACCCAGAGTCCTTGCCAACAGGTTAATGGCATTCAAGTAGGCATGAAGGACAAAACCGGTAACAAACACTGTGCAGAAGCAAGAGGAAGTGGATGCAATTGTTCTAATTTAGGATAACCAGTTTCTCCGTGCACACGTCGCAATAACGTTGTCTAGCGTAGGCCAAAGCTAGATCAATGAGTGAGATGCCATGGGAAGGGGCACTCGGGAGTGGCACACAGTTGACTGCAGAGGAAGAGCTGCCTGGCAACAAGTACCGAAATGGCCACTCGAGTGGAACTCGACAACACATTCGTATAAAATAGAAACTACTCTTCCGTATGGCTTTTAAAAACCTGTATCAGCTGGCTCCCACCCAACCTTTCCAGCCTCATTCTACATTATTCCCCTTCATGCACTTGGTGATCCAGCCAAACTGGCCTTGCTGTTCCATTCTACAAAGCTCTCTTTCCCATCTCTGTGGTTTTACATTAACCAGCCCCTCCTCCCCAAATCTGCAATGTTCTCCCTCCTTGCCCTAACCTCACAAAATCTCTCCCTTGCTTCAAGACTCCACCCACGCACTGTCTTCTACAGGAAGTTTTTCCTGATTCCCTTTTCTCTCCCAAACTACCTTATGTTTATCTGGATCTTATACACTTCCTATGTACCTGTTGTTTTCTCTAATAGAGGATAAGTTCCTTGAGGACAGGGACTGTTTGTTTTTGTCTTTGCCTTCTCACCTCTGAAAAGAGGGCCAGACACATAACAGGCATTTAATGAATATCTGTTGATTGAATGATGATTCAGACCCAGACAAAATTCCAGGGCTTGTCTACCCCATCTGCGTTCCCAGTAGACGTAAGTGGCATGGCATATCACAAGATCTTCCTGGAAGGCAGCCAGGAGGGCTGTGCGTGCATGCTGCATGTGTCTTTTTCTGCCCTATGTCTACCTTTTGTGTGTGAGGACATGTGTCTGCTTCTCCATCCCTAGAGCATCTTATGTGTTATGACCAGGCTCAGGCCCTCTCTGGTGGCTAAGGGTCAGTCTTCCTAAATTAGGTGAGGCTGAAGATAAGGTCTACTTGAAACAGCCCAGACTTGCATCTCTACAATGGCAAGAATCTGACCTAGCAAGCTCCTGAGGGACAACAACTGATTTATTGTGGTCTTTACATTCTCATCATCAGCTGTAGTGCCTAGCACACAGCAGGTGCTTTAAAAAATGCTTGTTGAACCGAACAGAATGGAATTGCTTTGAGAATCCCAGACATAAAACATGGAGATACATTTCATCGGCATCATGGAACACAGACAGGCATTAAGAGAAGTGGCAAAGATAATTCCCATTTTATAGATGAAGAAACAGAGACTCGGTTTTACTTAAGGCAAAGCAGTGAAAGCAGAACATAGCACCCAACCCCTTAAGCTACACTATTTTATGCAGAATTGGGTGAAAAAAATAAATATATCTCTAATCTCAAATCCCATCTTGTCCACAAGGCCATTTTCCTTTGCCAAAGCTACTAGTGCCTTCCCCTCTGAAAAACTTCCATTAACTTTATACACACCTACCATCTATCCAGTTATTTACAAATTGTTTCCCCATTAGAATGTAAGCTCCTTGAAGGCAGGGAATGGTTTTGCCCTTTTTGAACCCCTGGCATTTAGCATAGTGCCTGGCACATAACAAGCATTTAATAAGTGGGTTTTGATGGATTGATTTTCTATAAAATCTCTCAGTTCCTCACAAGGCCACAAAGCTAGATGACCTAGATGACCTCTGTGGCTCTATGGTATACCAGTGCAATCTAAATCTGGACAGGAATATCCAACAAATGACAGACAACGCACTTGGAGAGAAGGCACGCAGCATCTGTCTGGAGACTCCAAAAGGAAGATGAGCCCACTGCTCTTCAGGCAATCCACTGCCTTTCTGGACAACTCCAACAAGGTGTTGACCCTCTATCCTCTTTCCTTTTGTCAAAACCCAGGATAACAGCTGACCTTCTTCAATCCTGCACCACCTCTCTGATTTCTAAGGACTCTCCAAGATCACTGACGGTTGCTTAGCTAGCACATCCACCAATTCTTTCAGCACCTTTAGAATTCATCTGGGTCAGGTGACTTAAAAGTCATACTAAGTGTTTTCTTACTATTTCCTTATTTGTTTCGGGTTTAGATTTGTCTTTTAGCTATTTTCTGGCTTTTCCAGTTCAAAGAATATTCTCCTCGGCAGAGGAAACAGAAATGAAACAATAATGAAGTATTTCTATGTTACGTTATCATCACCCACCATCAGCAATAGCATAGCCCTTTCTGAATCTATTTTCCCCAACACATCACCATCTAGTAAGCCAACGATGTGTGACGGCATTATTAGAGAGACCTCACACAACCCATGGACAGCTTCAGTTCAACAAGCATTTAGAAAGCCTCTGTCACAGAGGACGGGACTGAATCAGAAACACCTGGTTCAATCTCTGCCTCTGACAGGTTGGCTTGTATGACCAGGACTAGGGAATAACTTAAACTTTCAGTGCCCCCAAGAACGCTCTAAGACACAAATCGGTTGTTGCTATGCTTATGTAGAAGGAATCTCTACACCAAAAGATTCCTAGAGGCTGATGAAATCAAAGGCCTAAACAAAAAATAAATAATTAAGGTGTGCTTTGGTGGGCAAAGACAAAAATAAGTCCTTGTCTTCAAAGAGTTTACATTCTGCTGGATATAACTTAGTAAGTCTTAGAGACTTGCCTGAGGCTATGTAAGAAGTTAAGCAGATTGCTCCACATCACAGAGTTGATAAGTTTCAGAGGAAGATTTGAACTCTCTATTCAATAGGTCACTCTGTCTGCTGCTAGACCACTTTAAGGACGCCCAGCTCAGAAACCAAACAGTACTGAACCTGGTTACCGGGAGGCCCTCTGAGGCTATTTTCAATCCAAGTCCTCTTCTGCTGCCTACAGCATTTCTGTCCAAGCTTGGCCCATGCAGGCATTAGTGCTACTGATTCCATTCTTCTGGCACATTACTTACTTCTCTGTCCATCCTCTTTGACTTGCCCTGCTTCAATCATCTCTTAATAATCAAAACTGGATGAAAAACCTGGGAGACTGTACATGAAGAGAGAAGAATCAGGAGATCATTTCTGACTCTTCATGACCCCAACTGGGGTTTTCTTGGCAAAGACACTAAAGTGGTTGGCCATTTTCTTCTCCAGCTCATTTTACAGATGAAGAAACTGAAGCCAGCCAAGTTAAGTGATTTGCCCAGGGTCACACAGCTCGTAAATGTCTGAGGTTGGATTTGAACTCAGTTCTTCTTGACTCCAGGCCCAGTGCTCCATCTACTATACCACTGAGCTGCCTTTGCAAACCTCAAATATCTCTATCAATGTCAGCTCTTCTGTCCTGCAAAAGAGGGACTGGACTTGCTCTGCCCAGCCCCTGAGGACAGAACGCGGAGAAAGGAGGGAAGCTTGGGGGAGGCTGGTTTTCAGTTCAATGTGAGGAAAAAACTTACTCAGAATGAGGGCATTCCAAAATGGAACAGGCCAGCGAGGAAGAGGCACGCCTGGGGTCCCTGCTGCCAAGGGGTCCACACAGCGAGCCTCTGGAGCTGCAAAGCTCCTAAGCTGACCAGAGCGGGGCAGCCCCTGCCTGTAATTCCAGCCTCAGGGAAACAGGGAAACTCAGGCTTCATTTTTCTTTTAAAGTGGACCAGGCTGCCTGACTAGAGAGTGAGCCACTGGTCATTACAGACCTCCAAACAAATGATAAATATGACCACATTGAGGATAACATAAAGAGTACCTGTCCCCTGCACGGCTTAGACCAAAAAGGGCCACAGGGATGTCTTCTCTAACTCAGCCATTCTGGGTTTCCGGCCTCAGGCAAAGCAGTAAAAGTTAACAAGGAAATACCAAGGGTCGTGGAAAAACACAGCTGTTTGGGCTCATCATCCCTCCACAGAAGTGGGAGGTCATGCCAGCAATCCCTCCCCTGTCCACCCACAAATGCTAGCCCTCCTCCACCCTTCCCAGTCCCAGCTGATCTGTTCAAATGAATAACAGAGAGGTAACAGAACAAAGCCTCAGTGGACTCACTTTCTCACAATGTCTTTGGCCATCTCAGAGATTTGGCTCCATTCTTCCTCAGGAAACTCAAAGCTTCCTGTCATGATCTTTCTCCGCATGTCCTTTGGAATTGTCCGGCTGTGGTGTTTGGAGTAAAAAGGTGGGTAGCCGCACAGCATCACATAAATGATCACCCCCAAGGACCACAAGTCACAGCTCTGAAAGCAAGGAGAAGGTCACTTTGGGGCACAACGGGGGATGGGAAAGAGCCAGGAAACAAACCTCACTTGATCTGTAGCAGACAGGCTATCTGGAATACATTTAGCTGGTCTGGAGTGTAGGTTACCACTGCTGGAGAGAAATATTCCCAGCTCCTAAGACAGCAAACCTTCCTATTCAAAGTATTTATTTTTATGCAGCCAAAGCAATACCCAGACACAAAATACATTCAGTTCAACAAACATTTATTACAAGCTGCTCCAGGGGGAAAATGTAAATGATGTCACGTGTCTTCCCCTTTGCCAGCCCCAAAGCATATGTTCAATCACCAGCCTGGACTAAGATGGAAGGCACAATTCTTTTCCTGGTGCATAAGAATAAATCTAAGCCAGGTCATGGGTGGATGTCCTGCTTAGGGAAGAAAAGACACTTGACCTTGACACTCAATCAACATAATGACTTCTGAAAGGGACTGCCAAAGTAACTCCTGGTACATCTTAAGAGGCCTCAAGGACAATGCCCTAGTCAGCTAGCCAAGTGACCCTGGACAAGTCATTTCCTGTGTACCCCAGGTTCTTCATCTATAAGATGAGGGGGTTGGACTAGCTGCCCTTTAAGGACTCTTCTAGCCTTAAGTCTCTGATGCTGAGCAAACACTCTCCCAGGCCTTTCTGCACAGATGGAAACACTCTGACAAAAGCAGAGTTATTCTCTGGTAAGCACATCACCAGACATGGGGCAAGTCCTCGGCTCTGGCCAAGGGGACTCTCTCTTCTTCTAGACAGTCTCAGCCCTTCTCCAGACCCCGACCACACCTCCCAGGGGACTGTCATGTCACATGCGCTGCGATCTGCCCCTGCCCCCACAATGGGTCCTTCTGTTAGAACAGCAGTGATGAAAATAGTTCACACTGCAGTGCTTGAATTTTGAAAAAAAGGTGGCTCCTTGCCGGGGCAGGAATCCTGGCCTCCCGAGTCCAAGCCGGCAGGAGGCCCAGCTGTCTCCCCCCTTTGAGGTGCAGCAGTAGCAGCAGTGTGGAGATGGGTGAACGCCCTCACCCACAGGTGCCTCAATTCCTTTATCCACAGAACGCAGGTGTTGGACTAGAGGCTCTTGAAGTAAGTCTCAGCTTTGGCCTTGTCCAATTCTAAAAGGTTATTCAACAGGTGACTAGCACCAACCAGCCTTGTTCTTGGTGGCGAGACAAGGTAAAAGAACAACTCTCCTTCTGGATAACAGTCCTGCCAGCTGTCCTTAGGGCCTGGCTCCACATGGCCTACAGAGGTCACCTCTCTAAGCAAAGCAGGCCAGTGTATCTGCCACAACAGGGACCGGCTCCCTGACAACTGGCCTCTCGGGGCTCTTCGGAGGTGGCTTCGTTCAACAGAGTTTCAGGCACTGTTTCAGAAGCTCCTGACAGTGGAGAGGAGGAACTGTCTCTTTTCATTCTCACTAGGCTACCCACCTCACTGAGAAGACAAAATGAAAGCAAGGCAAACAGAGGCCCATTTCTTAGGGAAATCAAGACCCTTTAGGATTAATTATTCTATCAAGCTGACCTGCCAAGTGACAACCCCTCCGCCCTGGAAACACTAACCAGGTCTGCCCAAGAGGGTCTGCCTTCTAGGGAAGGGATATGATAGGTTCTTCCACCCAGCTAATGGCTTCTACCCCGGCCAGATGTCACTGTTCTCCAAAGGCACTTTCCTTGTAAACTGAATTGAGATGATATCAATAAGGCCAACCTCTGTTCGTTTTGCTGACTCTTTTCTTTCTTTCTTTTTTCTTTAAAAATAATATTTTTATATAGGATGATCCTCTGGGAAGAGGAGGAAAAGGAATATTAGGGGAAATTTTAATGATGTAAAAATCCAAAAGATAGCAATAATATATAGATATACATGTATGCATGTATTTTAACATGTTATTGCTATCTTTTGGTTTTTTACATCATTACAATTATATGTATTTTATATATATTTGGTATGTGCTATCTATCTATATATACAGAGAGAGAGAGACAGACAGACAGACAGACAGAGAGAAAGAGTGAGCGAGCGCACACATACCAAATGGGAATTTCTATTGAGCTCCTGAGGTGCCCTACCAACTGGGTCCCAGGAAGACTAAGGATTACGAATATGAGAGAAGCACTCTTGAATCTCCCTGGCACAGTGCTGCATTAAACCCAAATCACCACCAATTTGACATTTTATTAAGAATAACAAGCCCTTGAGAAAAACAGGCTCAAATCACTGTTACTTACTCCCTCGAGAAAGCCAGGTCAAATATCTTGGTCAAAGGTTTGAGTTTCATAGCCCTGCAATGCACGTGCTAGATTCTAATGATGGATGTTGGTCTATCCTCCTCCCTGCTATACTGTACGCAGACCAAGCTCCTGCCTTAGCCACACTCTGTACCCTGCCCAACGCCATGCTCTGTACCCAGTAAGCACTCAATACGCAGTCACCAAGACAGGCAAGGCAGTTCAGGGGAGCGAAAATATTGGGCTGGGGGGCCACACAACACAGGATCTCCAAGGATATTTAAGTCCTTTGCACGACGGGGAGTCAAACTCAAATAAGAAGAGAAGATCTACCACACAGTGACTTAGAAAGCCACAAAACAACATTACCAAAGTTGTGCTGTATTTGTATTTACCTTGTTAACCACTTCCCAAAGGTTCGGGTCACACAGTGGGGGTTGGGGGGCTCTGCTGGCTCCTTTTGGCCAGAGGAGACAGTCAGGCCTCTATGATCCCTCCCCTGCAGCACAGCGCCCAGAACGCTGGAGACACCAATAAATGCCTGCTGACTGATTAACTAAGGTTGTGTCTACATGATAGTTAACAGTTGGTTTAATCCATCAAAAGTCCTGTTAATTTGGATATTTACCTCCCTTGTACTGAACCTGTATCTACCCATATTTTCCCAGGTTGTTTTCCCTGATAGAATATAAGCTCCCTGAGGGCAGAAGTTGTTTACCCTTTGTCTTTGTCTCCTCAGTGCCTAGCACACACTAGGTACTTTATGTCTGCTTCACTGATTGACTGGATAGCCTGCCTTGATGTTTGACAAAACATCCAAAACCTAACTGAACAATGACTCTAGTGACTGGATGTCCTGAGCGACACCTAAGGGGTGTTTGCTGCATCACTGACACAATGATGAGCACACGGGCTATGGGATGGCAGACACAGGACCCCTGCATCTTCAGGCTAGAAGGGACCTTAGAGACCACCCCATTCGACCATTCAACTTGGGAGGCCCAGAAGTTAAATAACCTGATCGAGGCTATGGTTCATGATAAAGCCAGGACTCGACCCTGGATCTTCAGAAACCCCAGGTGTGGCTCTTCCCGTCCTGCTGCACTATCTACCTCCCAAATGTCTACTTCTATCCTAAGGCCCTAGGAACCCTAAGGGCTCCACTACATTAGCCCCTTTAGTCCTTTCCTCACGCCCCTACACCTATACTGTTCTAGAGCAGTTATTCCCAAAGTCTGGTCTACAAGACAGACCACTGGGCTTGGGAGTCAGGAAAGACCCAAGTTCAAATCCCACTTTAGTCACTCGCTAGCTGTGGGATGTTGGCCTCAGTTTCCTCTTCTGTAGAATGAGTTGGACTTGATGGCCTCAAAGGTCCCTTCCAGCTCTAGAACTACAATCCTATGACAGTCCTCTGAACAAGAAGAGATTCTTTTATGTAATCATCTTCAACACCTCAAGGATCAGTGATTTTATTGGTGTGGGCAATCCAAAGGTGACACTTGCATAAGTGTCTGAGTGTCTATGACATGGAAACTGCTACACTTATTTCTGGCACAAATTCCTTTGTTATCTTTCAGAAAATATCAGACAGCCCTTCATTAATGTCTCATCAAAAGCAGCCTCACTCTTCCTGTTCATTTTGAACTAACAAAAAGGAGGAGTGTCAATGAAAGTAGCTCTGAGGGATCTTTTGTCCCCAAAAGAGAAGTTCTCAAAAATGCTTGAGAACCACAGCTCCAAAATAGAATCAGATACAACAGAACACAAAGCTGGCAAAATGGAACCAAGTGAGAACTCCATTTCCCACAGAAAAGCACAAACAGCCCTGAAAGTAATCACAGCCAGTGGGTCCTCCCACAGAAATTCCACTGTTCTGTTATCACACATCAGGCAACAGGTAAAAATGGCAAAACCCTGCCCTGGCTACAGCTCCAGGCTCTTCCTGGCAGATACCAAAAGTGACTAACTACTCTCTGTACCACCTCCCATGGGCACCTCCCATAAGGAGATGACAAGGAGATGTGCATCCAAGAAGCTTACCTTGTTATAAGTGTAGGGTGTGGGCGAGGTAGGTATAATCCCAGACTTCTCTTTTTGATGCCTTCTTTGTGCCTCCAATACCTGTCAGAACAAGCCAAAGGCAGAAAAATCGCCATTAACCACAAATGCCATTCACCTGGGCTTTAGGACGTCTAGGAGGGTCACAGGGTCAAACAACTGCTAACCACAAAGGTCAACTCAGCTTCAGTCAGCTTTCCAGTCACACACACATCTCTAGTCCTTTTCCTTCCCTGCCAGGTTAGGATCCAGTTGGGAAAGTTCATCTCTCCTAAAAATATATCTTGCTGTGCTAGGAACACATTTTACTCATGTTCTGCTATGTAAATTATTGTCAGTGTTTATTCTACTGAGAAATCCATATGAACTGCTCTGAGCCTGTTCCCAGGCTACTGGAATGTGAGAAAGGAGCTGTTCATGCGTTTCCTTACAGACCCATAACAACTTCCTAATCGAGGGAAGGGAGACAACGGCACTTCTTTCAAAGGCGCCATTCTCTGGCTTTAAAACTGGGCAGGACCCCAGAAAAAAATTACCTAGACCAACCGCCTCATTCTGCAGATGAGGATGCTTGAGGGCCACAGAAGGAACGACCTTTCTTGAGGTCAAACAGGAAGTAGCAGAGACAGGATTCAAACCCAAGTTCCCTAACTCCAAATTCAGTGTTTGTGCTGCCTTTTTCTGGGAGAGGTATTCACTTTTTCAGGCTCCTAAGAGCCCATTCCTAGGTGATGGGAAAACAAGCTTCTGCCAAAGTCGTGTGAAAAAGCTAACCCATCTCTAAAAATGGACAGAAATAGGTCTTCGAAAACCAAGAGAAGTAAGCGAGCCCCTGGATGGAATCAATGAGTTCAAGTCACCAGCCTCAGATGAAGCCCTTCCCAGGGTCCTAAAAGACTTGGAGTCTGTGGCTGCTCAGAGCTGAAAGATCATGGAGAAGGAACGATGTTTCCCAGAACTAAAAAGAGGGAAATACTGACTGGATTTTCAAAAACAGAAAGACTTAAGTAGAGTCAGCAAACTAGGGGCTGATGAGCTTGACTTTGATTCCTTGCAAACCTCCAAAATTCATAATTAAATGAACAGTTCATGATCATTTTGAAAGAGTGATGATCATTAATAGGCAGAAGAGCTTCATCAAAAACAAGTCACACTAAACTAAACTCATTTATTTCGGATAGGACTATTTGACTGGAAGATCAGGGAATACTGTATATGTGCCCAAGCTTGACACCCGGCAGGCATTTAATAAATATCTGTTCAGAAGGATATTCCCCTTATCGTCAGGGATGAGAGGGTGAGATGGGAGCTGGACCATCAGGGGCGATCCACAAAACATGGAAGGACTAGACACAGAGAGGAGCTGTCAGTCTTGCTGAGTCATTCTGGTCGTGTCTGACTCTTCATGAGCCCATTTAGGATTTTCTTGCAAACACGGAAGTGGTTGGCCATGTCCTTCTCCAGCTCATTTGACAGATGAGGAAACTGAGGCCAACAGGGTGAAGTGACTTGCCCAGGGTCACACAGCCAGCATGTGTCTGAGGCCAGACTTAAGCTCACAAAGATGCCAAGCCCAGTGCTCTATCCCCTGAGCTACCTAGCTGTCCTTCAAAGAAGAAAAGGAAGTAACAACTTGCAGAGGGAGGGATAAACTACATCCCATTCAGGGGAGCTGACTACGGTGAACTGACTGGAAGCCAGGCCACATGAAGACGATTAGCTAAAGACACTAAGAATGCTTAACCTGAAGACAGAAAACTCAGTAGGAACATCATGGCTATCTTCCAGTACTGAGTTGAAATCTGGCCACAGACACTTACTAGCTGTGTGACCCTGAGGAGGTCACTTCACCCTGTCTGCCTCAATTTCCTCATCTGCAATGAGCTGAAGAAGGAAATGGAAAACCACTCCAGTAACTTTGCCAAGAAAACCTCAAGTGGGGTCACAAAGAGTCAGACAACACTGAAAACGACTGAAAAACAACAAGTGATGAATATGATGAATGCAGAGAAACTTGAAGATTTATATGAACTAATGCGGAAGAGAGTATGAAGAACCACGAAAACACAACAATGATAACAACAATGTAAACTGAAAGAGCAAAAAGAAGCTAACTAAAGGTTCTGTAATTATAATGACCATGATTAAACCTAGAAAAGAGAATTCTCCATGCTTTGTCAGGATAGGGGACTCCGGGTATGAGGCATTCCTTGTACCAGGCCTGTACAACCTGCGGCCCATGGACCGCTTACGGCGCCACCGGCTGCAGGTTGTACAGGCCTGCCATACACCATCAGACTCTTCTGATACCCTGGTTAATTTTGCAGGACTGATTTCTTCTCTTCTCTTCTTTTTTACTCTATTACAAAGGACGGCTTACTGTGTAGGAAATGAAGGAGTAATATAACTGGAAATGAAAGCAATAGAAAAAAAGCAAAAAAATTGGAACTGGATCTGTGATTTCACTGTGGGGAACTCCCAGGTGAAGAAACTTTCTCTACCAATGCAAGTGGGCACCTTCTATGCAACAGTTCTTACAGCAGGGGTCCATGAATATTTTTTAAAATATCTGATAACTGTATTTCAATGTAATTGGTTTCCTCTATAACCCTATGCATTTTATTTTATACATTTAAAAACATAATGCTAAGAAGGGGTCCATAAGCTTCACTATATTGCCCAAGGGATCCAGGACCTAATATTGGTTAAGAATCCCTGCCTTAGAGGTGGACTTCAGAAAAACCTGGAAAGACTTGTATGGACTGATGCTGAGTGAAGTGAGCAGAACCAGGAGAATGGCGCTCACAGTAATAGCCATATTGTGTGATAACTAACGTTGATAGACTTAGCCCTTCTCAGAAATGCAAGGATCTAAGACATCTTCAAAGGCCTCATGATGGAAAATGCTATCCACATCCAAAGAAAGAACTATGGAGTTTGAATGCAGATCGAAGAATATTATTTGCTATTTTTTTCTTCTGTTCGTTTTGTCTTCTCTTTCTGGTGGTTCCTCCTATTGGTTCTAATTCTTCCTTACAACATCACTAATGTGAAAAGTTTAATAGGAATGTATATGTATAGCCTATATCAGATTGCATGCCATCTTGGTGAGGAAGACAAGGATGGTGGGGGAGAAAAATTTTAAACTCAAAAGCTTATGGAAATGATTGTTGATAAATTAAAATAAATTTTTTAAAAAAATGAATTCCTGCCTTAGAAAATTACCCAGGGTCACACAGTCAGAATGTCAGAGGCAGAGCTTGAATCCAGATCCTTCTGGTTTCAAGTCCAGCTCTCTAATCACTATGTTATGCAGCTGCCTTTCCAACAAAAAAAACAAAAAGTGTCCTTAAAAATGTTTTTAAAAAAACATGGTTCGAGAGAATTATTAATTGCTCATGAGTAGGCCCAGCTAACATAAGAAAAATAACAGTACTATCCAAATTAATTACCAAAGCATTACTTTATGGAGCTGGAAAAAATAATGACAATATTCATCTGAAGGACTAAAAGGTCAACAATCTCAAGGAAAATAATGGAAAAGGAAAAAAAAAGGAAGGGATCTTAGCCGTAGCAGATCTCAAATTACACTACAAAACAGTAATCATCAAAATGACTTAGTACTGGTCAAAAAAGAGAGATCAATCATTTTAAGAGATTAGGTACACAAAACTCAGAAGCAAACAAATGCAGTAGCCTAATGTTTGATGAACCCAGCAATCACAGTTACTTGCATAAGAACTATTCAACAAAAACTAATAGGAAAACTGGAAAATAGGTCAGGGTAAAGCCGGTATAGATCAACATCTCATATCACATACCAAGATAAGCTCCAAATGGATGAATGATTTAGACACAAAGAGTAACAAAATAAATGCATTAGGGGAACAAGGAAAGAATCACCTTTCAAATCTATAAATAGGGGAACAATTCATGACCAAACAGGAGAGAATTACAGAAAAGAAAAATTTCAATTACATAAAAATTTAAAGTTTTTGCACAAACAAAACCAATGCAATTAAAATTAGAATGGAAGAAAGTAACCAGGAAAAATTTTTATAGAGATTCTCCAACAAAGGTCTCATTTTCCAAGATATATAAGGAACTAATTTAAATTTATAGGAATAAGAATCATTCCATAAATAATAAATGGTCAAAGGATATGAACAGGCAGTTTTCAGAGGAAGAAATCTAAGCTATCAAGAGTCATATGAAAATATGCTCCTACTAATAACTGGAGAAGTGGAATTCGAGCAACTTTGTGGTTCTACCTCATACTCCTTAGATTGGTAAAAGTGACAAAACAAGAAAATGAGAACTTCTGAAGAAGCTGGAGGGAAATACGCACTTTAATGTATACTCCTGATAGAGATGTGAACTGGCCTAGCCATTCTGGAAAGCAATAGCACCTACAATCCAAAGAAATCAAAGAAAGGAAATGGATCATTATGCACAAAAATGTTTACGGCAGCTTTTTCGTAGTGGGAAAGAGCTAGAAACTAAAGAGGTGCCCATCAATTGAAAAAATGGCTTATGGTATCAAACTGTAATAAAATATTATTGTGATATAAGAAACGATGAAGGGGACAGCTTCAGAGAAACCTGAGAAGACCTGAAATGATGCAGAGAGAAGTGAATTGAACCCGGAGAACAATTTTTATAGTAACAACATTGTCAAAACCAACAATTTTGAAAGACTTTTAGGAACTCTGATCAACGCAAACGTCAACCTCAATTCCAGAGGACCACAATCAAGCCTGCTTCCTGTCTCCTGACAGAGAGGTGATAGACCTATGGTGCAGACTGATACATATATTTTTTGACATTTTCAATGCAGAAATTTGTTTTGCTTGGCTACATATTTGTACAAGGGTTGTTTTTCTCTCCTAGTGGAAGAAGAGGTGATAAGACGGGGAAAATGGATTTTTGTTCATTGAAAAAAATTTAATTTTTGAAAAAGATATATTTTAGACTAGATGATATCTAAAGTCCTTCCCACCTTTGAGATTTTATGGGTATTAAAAATAAATTGATGAGATTTTGGGGCCCCATTTTAGAGAAAAACCTCCATGAAGAAGGGGGAATCAGTAAGGTATGAGTTTAATTAATGAACAAAGCTTATCAACTCTGTATTACAGAAATCACAAGAATTACATACCTAGAAATCACAATGAGGGTATGTATCCATGAGGACATTATCCTGGCTGCCTTCCTCCCAAATCCTCTCTGAAGCTTATTAAATATCCTCCTTATTGCAGTTCCCCAAACAGTCCACAACATTCCCCACATGGCCTGACCAAGACAGAGTAACGCAGGCTTATAAACTCTCTCATTCTGAAGCTGGCTGTTCCCTTACTGCAGACTGACAGCACCCTACCTCTCCTGGGCTGCCATGACCCAGAGCTGAATTCTCAGGAACTTCAAGGACACTTAGACTTCCAGGCCTTCTTCACTTGAACTGTCCCCTTGCTGCAGCCCCCTGATCCTCTATTTGGGCAGTGACCTTTTAAATTCAAGGGCAGGCCTTTACAGTGATCCCCATTAACTGTCATTTTATGAGACTGAGTCCACAGCCAGCTTGAGCCTGTTGAGATCTTTCTGGATCCTGAATCAATCTTGAATCAACTGTCCATGCCAGCTTTGTGCCATTGGCAAATGTGAGGAGCTTTCATCTAAGGATGAGGAATCTTTGTGAAGAGTCTTTCATCTAAGTCACAGATACAGACGTTCAATGGCCTGGGACCAAGCAGAGTTCCCCTGGAGACATCTCCCCAAGCTAATGTAGAGCCACTGATGACTACCCTCTTATGTCTCATCATTTCATCAGCTCCACCTCTCTCTCAACGACTAGCCCATATTTCTCTGTTCTGTCCACAAAGGTAACATGGGAGATTTTTGTCAAAATACTCTGCTCTGAAGTCTATGTAAACTTTATCTCAGCAAGCCCATCATCTCCCACCCTAGTTAACTGTCAAAAAAAAAGGAAATGAAGTTAGTCTGACATGGCTGGCTCCTGAGGAAGTCACAGTGGTTCTCTTGGTGATCACCACTTCCCTTGAAAATGCTCTCCATCTCTCCCTTTACTAACACACTCTAGCACTTTGTTGGGCCCTGAAGTCCAAGTCTGTCAGTTGGTAAATTCTACTTTCTTTCCCTTTTTGAGAATCAGGACATTAGCTCTTCTTCAGCCGTGTACACTCCTCCAAATCGCCACAACTTTTTGTGGAAAGGTCCATGGCAACGTGGATAGGAGGCTAAACTTGGATCAGAAACCCAGGGGTTCAAATCCTGCTGCTCACGGTGATTAACTGTATAACACTGGGAAAGTCCCTTAAACACTGAGCCTCAATTTCCACATCTGAAAAATAATAATAGTATCTCTCTCATCAGATTGCTAGAAGGCTCAGCTATTATTGTTACTATTACAATAATATTATTTTAAGAACACAATGTTAATCATCATCATTATAATATCAAGTATGTATCATCATACTGCTTGCAAATAACTGTCATATGATGGTAATGATATTGTTAATTATCATTACTGAGGCAGCAAGGTGACACAATGGATAGACTGCTGGACCTGGAATAAGGGCGACCTGAGATCAGATGTGGTCTCAGACACTGTGTGACCCTGAGAAAGTCACTTCATCTATGCCTGACTCAGTTTCTTCATCTATAAAATGGGGATGATAATAATAGGACCTAACCCCAAGAGCTGTTATGAGGATTGAAATTATTTATATGTGTATTATATTTATTTATATTATATCATATTCACACGACATGCTAATATATTATATGTATTTATAAAATGCTTTATAAACCTTCAAGTGTTTTATAAATGCTTTTGTTATTATTGTTACTATTTCAAAGATCATCAATAGCGGTTCAGAAGCAGAATGAATACTGGACGATTTTAGGGTCAGGGGACCTGGTTTCAAAGCCTAGCTCTGCCGTATACCACTACCTTGTTAGGTCTCTAGAGCCAATTCCAGCTCTAAATTATGCTCCCAGGACCTCTCCTGCAGCTCCTTCCTGGAATGGAGCTGGTCCAGACCATCTGCTAAGGGCAATAAGATGCTCTCCTCCAATTCTTCACTTGTCTGGTGTTTCGGCCCCCATTAACCATTCGTGTTCTATGCTTTCATCTCTGAACCAATGGTGCAAATGAAAACTCATGTGTGAATGAGAAATTTAACTCAGGTCTGAGTGAAAATCATCCCATATTTCTCAAATTAATCCTGTGAATAACACCCAAAGGAAATAAATACTGGCCAAGTTCTGGGATCTTATTTCTAAAAGCTCTCATTTATAAGACAATATGTGTGCATCCTAAGAATGAAAGAAGGTGATGGTATCAAGAGGTTGCTAATACACAAGGTGTCCATTTCTTCACGTACAAAAATGCTTCTGGGACAGGAAAAGCTCATTCTTACCTGAGGTGCTACGTAGTAAGGGGTGAATTGTGGCGTCATCAAGTCCCCTTGGTCAATTTTGGCAAATCCAAAGTCACACAACTTAACTGGAGCATCCTAAAATGAGGCAAGTGGGACACGTCACTTGAAAGTTCTGCCTGATATTAGATATCAGGTGAATGACAACCAAATGAATGTCTGGGGTAAGCAAGGTCTGGGGGAACAGTTCAACTTACTAATGTAGACTGAGAAATGTCTTTACTCCCATATACTAACTGTAACTGTCCCAACAAGGAAAAGAAACAATGGAAAATTAGGCCTGAAGCCAACTGTGTCCCAATATCAGTGGCCTATTACTTGTAATAGCAGATTGAATCCCTGACCATTCCAGAAAAAGACTGACAGTTAAGTGCAAAGAGCTTAATGCTACTCAATACTTGTCATAAGACTTAGGAAAAACTTAGAGGGAAACTTATGTCAGTAGAACAAGTATAAAGTAATGAACAGAGTCAAAATATTGATTTTATCAGGAGCCAACAAACCCAAGATTTCAATTTAAGGCCAAGCAACAGCCCCTTATACTGACAGGACCTATTCCTTCTATCGCTTCCATTCCCCTGGCTGGAATCAGGACTGACGGTGGTCCCGGCCTCCCAGCAACTGGCCTCTCTTTCACGCCAAATATAGCTATGGGAGACGACACTGAGCACATAAGGTTTCTAAGGCCCAGGCCTTCAGTGATATACATATATATATATATATATTGGTGCTGGCAAAGGACCAAACCAGGGCTTTGGTACTCCCTGAAGTCTTCTGACCTAAGCCCTCCCTGCCCTCTCACTTCTGGATTTGGCCCATGTAGCCTGAGCTGGGGTTGGAAGAATAACTTAAAATTGCCAAAAAGCCAGGCTTCTCACCAAAGAGTTATCCTTGAAGAGCAGATTCTCAGGCTTGAGGTCTCTGTGTGCAATGTTTAGCAAGTGACAGTGCTGCAAAGCCAAAGCTATCTGGAAAAGGATACAATAAATCAATTGAAATTTAGGAGAGAGGACTGGCTGCATTCCCCTCGCTTAGTCAGACCTCAAAGGAAAATGGTAACAATTAGCCTTTTTCCCAAAATGCAGTGGAAACATTTTCAAATAGATGATGCCTCTGGAGAAACCCAAAGCAGAATACATGAAAGAACAATCACACCAAATGAAACCAAAGAATCCTATTTAGCAGCAAGCTGCCAGGACACCAACACTGGCGAGCCAGGCAGGCTTGGGCTCTCTGACAGGACAAGCAGGAAGAGAGCACCTGTGGGGCATTCTTCTTTAAAAAAGCAAGGCTTGCTTTCATCAGTCGTGTCCTTTTCAGGCCGAGCTGAGGTCCAGAGACATTTTTGTAGCGGGGAGCATCAGAGGCCCCCAGAGTCCATTACAATGGAAGTTTTACAAAGGACATTCCTCACAACACCCCTGTAAGGTAGGTCATGAAAGTACTATTATTCCTATTTTGCAGATGAGGAAACTGAGTCTCAGAGAGGTGGAGTGATCTGAGCACATCTGCCTAGGTTCAGAGGCAGGATTCACACTCAGTTCCCTGGATCCAGGTCCTTCATTCTTCCCGCTACACCACACTGATTTTCCTAGACCCAGGCAATGATAAACAATAGAGATGAGGTCAGAAGCCAGTTACGTTCTGTGATCTTCAACTTCAGGTTCTGACTTTGAAGGAAAAGAAATCTAAAACCATCCAGCTGAATTTTTCCATCTGATTTTCATGCTAAATGTTGAAAAGTTGTTTATATGTGTGGGTTTGGGGCAGGAGGCTGGGTTCTGTTGTCTTCAAGATAAACCACAAGGCATCCTTTATTCCAAAAGAAATTTTAATGTAAGATACGTTATGCTAACAGAAGAGATGATTTTTTTAGAGATACTCAAAGCCTGAGGATTGCATTTCCCAGTTATTCCAAAAATAACATTCTTCTCTGCTACTCAATGGCATCATGGAAAATTGGGCAGCACTTTCTGCTTAGAACTATTTGTGCTGTGGGAAATGATTTTTCTGCCCTCAGCTGGACTGAAAACACAACCTCTGAGACTGAGCTTTTCACCTTCTCAAGAGGCCTATTCTCCAGCTGGAGTTCATGAGGTAAATCATCTCTATGACAACCAAACATAAGGTCACAAAGAGGAAGGATACAGCTCTCGATAGAGACAGGCAGGACCAGGGGAAATTCAAAGAAACAAAGATCTCAGAAACACTGAGAGACTGAAGAAGAAAGAGAAAAGAAGGCTACACACACACACACACACACACACACACACACACACACACACACACAGAGGCACACGTGCACACACTCACAGACACTCTCCCCACCACCCTTAGCATTTTTACAGGCACAAATGTCTTGGAATCTACCCCGATAACATACAGCTCACTAGGAATTATCAGCAGCATTTTAACCCAACAGCCAAGAAACAGCACTAAGATTCCCTGTCTCAAGAGCAAGACATCCATGGCCACAATCTATAGAGAATATCACCCTCCACTGTGAGCAGAATAACTAAAGTCACGCTGCAGGCTTCAGGTAACAGCAATGTCAAGGTGGCGATCCCTGGAGTCTAGGAGATCTCCAAAAGGCACCAGATCACAAAGGCCCCATCTCTCCTGTCCAGACGGCTCACCCGATCACATAACAAAGCAGGCAATGAGAGTGCCAGATCAAACAAAGCTTTCCTCGGGGCTTCCTTGTCCCGTTCCCCCCCCCATGGAATTGTTCTTGCCCCACATTTGCAGCTGGGTGGCTGTGCAGGGGTTCACTTGCCTGCTTTGTTACTTGGCTGGCTTGCTTCTCTGTAAAGTGCCGGTGCTGGCTGATTCTGTGAAATAGCTCTCCCCCTTCCATCATCTCCATTACAATTAGGAGTCGAGCCCTGTTTGAAAGCATTTGATTCTTGTTAAAGTGAAAAAAAAAAACAACAGCTCAGACATCAAGTTGTTGACCTAAGGATGCACATTTCACACCTGGGAAGTGCTCCACCCTTTTACCCATTTTTAAATACTGCTAGCTCAATTGTGAGCTGTCTCTCTCCCCTTCCCCTGGTTCTACCAACCAGACCCTATAAAGCCACAGAACATTAGGCCAGCTAAGACAGTCTAAGAAACTCAAATGGAAGCAACTTATTTGTTTTTAGGTCCCTGAAGACTTTTTTTATATCTTTAACAGACTCTTAACTTCACTAGGGGGGAAGATGAGGGAAGATCTTATAAGCATAGCACTTAATAAATATTTTGTGGTATTTGGATGGGATCCAAGATCCAACGTTCTAGTGCTTAGAGGTACATCAGAGGCCACGTAGTTCAATGATCTCATTTTACTGATGAAGAAACTAAGGCTGACATAAGCAGATTACGTGACTTGCCCAAGGTCACACAGCCAAGCATCACTGAAACCTGAACCCAGGTCCACTGAATTCAGAGGAAGTGATCTTAACACTGTACCACAGAATGATAATGAAAAACACTGTCACTGTCCCCCCTTTCTCCCCCACCCCCAAATGTGCTTTTGGGGGCCTGTGATGGTAATATTACTGATTCTGTATCATTAAAATCTGTTTATCTCTTTTTCACCTAGTCCCCAATGACATTATGTATGTGCAAGATGAGGTTACAGATAGGTATGATCTGTGGTCATGGAACAAAGGCCTGGTGAGAAACAGACCAACTACAATCCTGTCTTCACTGGTACCAAACCACTGAGCTACTCAACCACAGAGATCTTCTCCCGTGAAAAACAAGATTCAACCAGAAACTGCCTTGGTCCACTTGAACCACTAAAAGCAAAGAGTCAAACACTCCCCCCCGAAAGTCCCCAAGAAGATTTCTCCTATTTCGGTCACCTCTTCTCAATATGAAGGCTTCCTATCTAAATGTAGCTGGCTTCCAAAAGCTTTCACCAAGAAAGCACGGTAGGCCCACATTATTCTTTATTTTCAAAATAAAGTAGTGTTGCTTGTTACAAATGGTGAGGAAGGCGACCTGGGCTAGACAACATGAGACGCTGACTTTACAAAAAGTGGAAATTTACGCTCAACTTCCATTCTCGTAACCAGGTTTTTTATGGCCAGGTCCACTTCCACGATTTTACCTTAGGCACCACTGAGCTGAGGAATGGGAAGCAAGTGTTCCATCGTCCCCGGGCACCTTACCTTGGGCTGGACTCGTGAGGAAACTGCACACTGTTGGCATATACTTCAATAATCTGCACAATATTTGGGTGCGTTGCACACATCATGTGCAGGCGTACCTTAAAGAGAAAAGAGGAGAGGTTACCATGCGGGGGGTTTTGCAAATGCTTTCCTTCCAAACTTTCAGGGTCCTGGGCTGTGCAAAGAGCCCAGTGGAATGAGAAGGAAGTGTGTTCCAGTAAAAAAAAAAAGCCCAGCCCCTGGGAATGACAAAAGGGTTTTTTTCTGAATAAAAAGGGAAGACTGAGTCTTCAAGGAAATCCTCTAATGATGGAGTCTGAAGTTAGGTTTGGAAGGGAATGCAAAAGAAACCTCTCCTGGCTGTCACTGCAGCTAAGCTGAGGCTGACAACTGCAGGGTCAAAGGTCCCAGCTACTCACACATGATCTTTCTGGGCAATTTCCATGAACCAAGTCCCCAGGCTGATGGACTTTGCACCTTACTGGCTAACAGAAAAACGAACTGAGTAGTAACAATCAGCCTTGGGAAAAGCCTTACTTAGTTCAATAAATCACTGCTTCTTATTCAAGAGATTCCTGTGTATTCCTTTGGCATACGATAGTAGTCCAAGCAATAAGAAAAAAAAAAAAGACATTCAGGGCCTCACAACACTGTATAGACTTGATTTCAACCCTCCTGAGAAGCCAAATACATACTGTCAATGTCATTCCCCCCGAAGCACCACTCTCAGGAGTTATGTGCCCTCTGTTCCCTGCTGCTCCAGGTTCCCCCACGTCTCCCCTGCCCCCACTCACACACAGAGCTCTGAATTCATCCATTCCCAGCCTCCAAACCCAATCTCTAAGTGAGCAGACAACAGAGCCAGTAGGAATGCTTCAGAGATCAAGGACCATACAGACTCAAAGAAGGTTGAGAGGCTGTTCTCAAGAGTCGTGCCCAAAGGAAGTGTGTGTCCGCTGTGTGCTAGTTGGCACTACTTCAACACCTTCAAGAAAGTTTAGACTATGAGAGCTGAGGAAAGGAGGAAGACAGCAGTGAAGCCCCAGATGCGAAGTTCCAAACCAAGCTTTCTCTGAGTCTAAATGAAATTCTCTCATGTGCATTTACGTCACTTTAGAAAGGCAAAATGCCAAATATTTGTCCATCTTAAAGGTAATAAAGGAGGAAAAAGAACTATTTCTACAAATGAAAATGGAGAAAAGAAAAAACAAAGGAAGGAAAGAAAGGGAAAGGCACAGATCATACCTCATTCCGAGCTTTTGGACGATCAAGAAGAATTTTCAGTGCAAACCGTTCTTGGGTAGATTTTTTCACACAGACCCTGTTATGGGGTGGAGGGGGATGTGGTCAGAGATCACATCAGAAAGAAAACTCTGCCCTTTATCTAAAGATCTGCATATAAACTACATAAACATTCCCAAGCCATTATCCTCCTCTAAAAGGACTGGCCAAACAATTCTTCCCTATCCAGTGAACACAGAATGGACCAGCGACTCTGGAAAGAAGTCTATCTAAGCCAGTGACAGTCTGACCAGGACTTGTCTCAGTGCAGCCCTCAACTCCAGCTCGTACATAACACTCTCACAATAGATGCTGCAGGGCATACAAGTGGCTCTTTTAGCTAATGCTCTGCAAACATGGCTCCATAAACTTAACTCCCCATACCACCACTCTAAAGCTCTGTCAGTGTAAAACACATTTGAGTGAAATACAGAAACTTTGGAATTTATTTTTATTTCTAAGGGTACAAAAAAAATCTTTTAAAAAGTTGTGCTGTCATTCTACATGGTAATTTTAAGTTATTTTCAAATCCAGCTGTACATTGTTCATATGGGACACATCCTGACTCCAAGAACGTTCCAAACATCCCTTATCAGGACAGTGTTACCACATTTCTTGCATGGCAAAATTGTTATGCACTAAGTTAATACAATCACTGCAAGTCACATATCAACAAGGAATCTGTGTCACAAAATGACTTGTTATCATCTAAAAAGAATGGGATGGAGAGGTGGAAAGACAACATTTGAGTTAAAAAGCAATCTTCTAACATCCATTTTTTTTTATGTTAAAAACAAAAATCAAAAATTCTTTATTTAAAAAAAAAAAGCACTTGCTCCACGCCAATACCCACATAAACCCAACGCACCATACATTGACAAAGAAGCATCAACCAATGGCTAAGTATTGCAGATTTGTCAAGGGACAATAATACAAATAATAATAGCCTCCAATACTTCATAGCACTTTAAAGTTTTTAAAATTCTTTAAAACATCACATTTTATCCTCACAACAACCTTGTGAGGTAGGTGCTATTTATTATCCCCATTTTACAGATGAAGAAATTGAAGCTGAAGATGGTTAAGTACCTTGTCCAGGTACACAAAATTAGTAAGTGTCTATGGTTATATTTGACCTCAGGCCCAGTACTCTATCCATTTATCCATTGAATCACCTAGCCTAACATTAATTATTAAAGATTGAACTCTAGAATGTTAGAAATTGTGACATATTATTCGACATGATTAGGGGCTAGAATCATACACCAGAAGCTTATTAGCTTACGTCTAACATCCATTTCTAAAGCAGATATTCAAATGCATAGAGTTTCTTACCTAACTGGACCGCTAATTCCAGCTCCCAATTTCTGAGTCCAATTAATATTGTATTCTTCTAAAATGGAGGTCTCCTATTAAAATAAAAAGGGGGAGAGAGGGAGGAGGAAACAAAGAATTAGTCCCTCAATTAAGATTTAGAACAGGCCTCACACAGAATCTTGCACATGATACATATCTGATCAAATAAATGTCTGCTGAATAAAATAATTCAGCTGAGATCACAAAGATGCCCCTTTTACTTAATGTCTCAGTTGAAAAAAAACTGTGACATACCTCTGGCAGTGGCTTGATGTACAATGTTAATCACTGAAAACTTAGTCACCTTGTTTGGGATAGGGTTTACCCCCAAAAAGGAAGAAGAGCCAAGATAAAAGGCTTTCTACAAAGCGTGCAAAATAATGACAATACTAAATAACTTTTGTTTATTTTTTTTTAGACAACTTCAACAATTGCTCTCAATCACTATTTAAAACAATTCTGAGGTACTATCTCACACCTATTTGGCTAATATGATAGAAAATGAAAATAATCAATGTTGGAAAAGATGTGGAAAAATTGGAACACTAATTTATTACTGATGGAGCTGTGAACTGATCCGACCATTCTGGAGAGCAATTTGGAACCAAAAGGGCAAAAAACTACGCAAACTCTTTGACTTAGCAATAGCAGTACTAGGTCTGTATCCCAAAGAGATTTTTTTAAAAAGGCAAAGGACCTACATGTACAAAAATATTCATAGCAGCTCTTTTTGTGGTGGCAAAGAGTTGGAAATTGAGTGGATGCCCATTAATTGAGGAACGGATGAACAAACTGTGGTCTATGATTGTGATGAAATATTATTGTACTATAAGAAATGACAAGCAAGATGCTTTCAGAAAAACCTGGAAAGATTTACATGAACTGATGCAAAGTGAACAGAATCAGCAGAACAACCTACACAGTGACAGCAATATTATATGATAATCATCTGTGACTTGACTTAGCTATTCTCAGCAAAACAATGATCTAAGACAATTCCAAAGGATTTGTGATGAAAAATGCTATTCAGCCTCTCCAGAAAAAGAACTGATGGAGTCTGAATGCAGAGCAAAGCATACTTTTTTTTACTTTGTTTTCTTGGGCTTTTTTTTTTGGAGGGGGGGAAATCTGCATTTTCTTTTGCTAATATGGAAATACATTATACATTTTACACAACTGTACATGTATAATATATCAAATTGCCTGCCTTCTCAATGAGGAGACAAGGAGAGAATTGAGAACTCAAATTTTTAAAAAATTAATGTTAAAAATTGTTTTTACATGTAATCGGGAAAAAAAATTTTGAATACTTCAATTTAGTTATAAAACTGCTAAGAGGGGCTCTTAAGCTGGGGGTTAGTGAACTTTTTTAAAATATTTTAATACCTGCATTTCAATAAAATTGGTTTTCTTTGTCATCCTATGTATTTTATTCTATGTTCTTAAAAACATTCTGAGAAGGGGTTGATAGGCTGCCAAAGTCAGTCAGTCATCAAATTTTTATTAGATGTCCACAATGTGCTTGGCACTACGCTAAGTGTTGGGTATACAAAGAAAGGTAAAAGACAGTCCCTGTTCTCAAGGAATTCACAGTCCAATGGAGGAGACAACAGGCAAATAACAAGATACAAACAAGATAGAATCAGGACCAATTGGAGATAATCAATAGAGAGAAGGCACTAGCATTATGAGGCACTGTAGAAGATGAGATTTTAGCTGAGACTTGGAGGAAGCCAGGAAGCCAGGAGATGGAGATGAGGAGGGAGTGAATTCCAAGCATGGGAAAAAGCCAGTGAAAATGCTCAGTGTCCAGTGTCTTGGATTGTCAAACACATGGGGGTGCATAGGGTGTAAGAAGACTGGAAAAGTAGGAAAGGGATAGATTATGAAGAGCTCTGAACCTTAAAGGATGTTATATTGGATCCTGGAGGTGATGTGAAGCCATCAGAGTTTACAAAATAGGGAGTTTACACAGTCAGACAAGAATGGACCAGATTGGGGAGAGACTTGAGGCAGGGAGATCAACCAGAAGGTCATTCATTACAATAGCCAAACGTGAGGTTTTAAGTGCCTGCATCAGGATATATGCAGAAGGGACAGGAGGGCATCAGTGAGAGATATTACAAAGGTAGAATCAACAGGGCTTGGCAAAAGACTGGACAGGGAGGGGAGAGAGAGAGGAGTAGAAGATGACACCTGGCTTGTGAGCCTAGATGATCATAAGGATGACTACAATATGCTGACTACAATAATAAGGAAACGAGAAAGAAGGAAGACTTTGGGAGAAAAGATAATGACTTCAGTTTCGGATGTGTTAAATTTAAGATGGCTACAGGTCATTCAATTCAAGTTGCAGAAGAGGCAGGAGACTGGAGGACAGGAAAGATTAGAGTTGGATAAGTAGATCTGGAAATGATCACTGGAAATCCTGAAGAGAATCCCAGTTGAATGATGAAGTAAGAAACAAGACTGCAGAGTAAAGCAAGTGGTAGAGGCACTGAATTCATGGGTCCTTGATTTAAAACAAAACAAAACAAAAAAACAAGTTAAGAACCCACGTAATAACCTGTTCCTGGAAATTTAAGAAAGAAGAGTTTATCACATAATGCCACATAAAAGAAAGTAAAGTGTGGAAGAGGGAAACATGCTACTAACCAAAATAAATAAGTCAGATAAGAAAGTCCAAATAAAAGTCTTAGTGCTAACTAAAAACAGACATCTTCTAAATCCTCAACAGCACTACTGATTAGGAGGCTTATGCTGTTATCAGTCATCAGCCATCTCCTTGGCTCAGAATCATGCCTTGCAGTATACCAAAAGAATGATACGGAAATACTCCCCAATATCTGTAAAAAAAACAAGGAGAGATCAAAAAAAAACCGTTCATTCATTTTTACAAATATTTACTGAGTACATATATATGCTATCAGGGGATGTGGAGAGAAACTCTTTTGACTTCAAGCTGCTTTCATTGTACTGGGAGAACAAGTAGATGATGAATAAACAAAGATAATTTAAGGCACGTGAAAGCACAGCACTAGCAGCCGGAGAGATTAGGAAAGGTCTTTTGTAGGAAACAGCACCTAAGCTGAGCCTTGAAAAAAGCTAGCGATTCCAAGAGGTTTCAGCGAGGAGAAAAAGCACTGGACCCACAAATACGAGGCTAGAATTAAACAAATTTTCCCAAATGACAAATGGGCAAAGGCTATGAACAGGAAGTTTTGAGAGGAAGAAATCTAAGCTATCAATAGCCACGTGAAAAAATGCTCCTAATTACTAATAATTAGAAAATGTAAATTCAAGCAATCCTGAGGTTCTACCTTATGACCCTTCAGATTGGCAAAGCCGACAGAAAGGGAAAGTGACAAATGCTGAGAGGCTGAGGAAAAACAGGGACATTACTGCAATGATGGTGGTGAAGCTATGAAGTATCCCCAGCCATTCTGGAAAGCAATTGGATGCCTAGAAATGCCTAGAAAGCTACCAACCTGTGCGTAGCTTTGGCCCAGCAATATTACTATAACCCCAAAAGGTCAAAGTGAGAGAAAAGACTCATATGTGTTAAAATATTGTATACATTAACTGTAATAACAATGATGATCATGCTTTCTAATGATAGTGATGATACTACAGCACCTTCAGATTGTAAAACACTGTACATGTGTAATCGCATTTGATTCTCATAACCACCCTGGGAAGTAGGTGCGATTATGATCCCCATTTCATACATGAGAAAACTGAGGCTGAGAGCTGTGAAGCCACTTACCCAAAGCGTCCCACAGCTAGTGTCTGGCCTACATTTGAACTCAGGTCTTTCTGCCTCCAGGTCCAGCATTTCTTACCCACTGCACCCCGAGCTGCCTTGGACATATCATAAAGACAACTTTGAATGTCTTGGGAACTGTAGTCATTGCAACAAACAACCACCACTCCAGAGGACAAACGATGAAGTAAGCTCCCCACCTCCTGGGAGAGAGGTCACGGGCCCAGGACGAACACTGAGACATCTTTTTAGGGGCATGCACACTGCAGGAATTTGTTTTGCTCTGACTATGCATATTTGTTAGTTTGGGTGTTGTTTTTTTTTTCCTTTTTCCAGGGACGACAAAGAGGAAAAGGGAAAGGTAGATTTCTGCTCACCAAAAAAATGTTATTTAATTTTCAAAACGTAATAATTTTCAAAAAAGCACTAAACAAACTCCTTTTGAAGAGCTGTCTGAAAAGCCTAACACTATACTTGCACCTAAGGGCAAAAGCAACTGCTCTTCTTCTAGACCTTTCCAAATCCCAGATCTCCTCCCTTCATTTTCTCAAATAGTTTTTCTCGGCTAAATAGTACAGCTTTATGAATACTTCCATGAATACTGGCCATGTTGAAGGCAAGTCTAAATCCTAGTACACCAAAGAGGAAATAGTTCAACATCCTAATGTTACACTGATTAAAACTGACATGTTTACTCACAAAACTCAAAGCCAGAAGTGAAAAGTGGGAAGGGATCTTACCAGGAAGAAAGGCTTCCTGGCAATCAATCAATCAACAGGCATTTACTGAATGAACACCAACTACATGCCAAGTAACAGGCATACAAAGACACAAATGAAAAGGGCCTTCCACTCAACTACCTTACATTTGAGTAAAGGAGAATGAATAACCATCCGTACAAGATGCAAAGTCAATCAATCAACAGGCATCTACTAAGCCCAGGAGATCACATTCTAACAAGGGAGACAAAAACTGCCTTGGCTCGGTAGATAGAGCACTAAATCTGAATACAGGAAAATGGGAGTTCAAAGCCAGCTTCTACCATTCGCTAGCTATGTGGCCCTGTGCAAGTCACTTAACCGGTCTGCCTCAGTTTCCTCATCTATAAAATGGGGATAATAATAGCACCGACCTCCCTGGGTTGTTGTAATGAGGAGAGGAGAAGGGAAGGAAGGGGATAGAGAGGGGAAGGAGAGATGAATGACAGACAAATACAGAGCGCCTTGCAAACCTGAAAGCACTAAATAAATCCTAGCTATTTTAATAATAGCCAATTTGAGACGGAGGGCA